ACATAAGATACATTCGAAAGAGAATATGACTTAAGGACAGTTTGAAGAAACGTGGTAAGGACCTCGAAGGCCAGGGCTACAAAAGAATTAGAAACAGAGGTGACTGTGTAAGTTGACTACAGACGAGATTGTGGAAGTAGGTACCACTGAGGTTGAAGGGCGTTTAGTAACCTGAGAATAAGTCATGGAAGTCTCCCTTGGAGGCTGATTATTTTAATCATAGGGAAGCACTAAATCCATAGGGTTATACAGCGCATGTGGGGAGGATGGAAGGTATTCAGGCTCAATTCAGGGAACTGGAGCACAGATCCAATTCCCTAGATTAAGAGTCCCTCACCAGCACCTTGGAGGCTGAGACGAGACTGCCATGGCTTAAGTGAAGTCTTCTTTCTCTTTGAGACAACGGATTTCTCGTTTTTTCAAGTAAATGATGAGAACAAGCTGGGTGAGCTTCATTACAATTGGCAAGAGGGAAGGTAGGCTGCAAGATGTATTGGTATGGTCGGCAGCACCACAGACTGGGCATTCTGCCATGGACCTGCAGTATTTCGCTGTATGGCGATTTTTGCACTGTTGTGGTGTAGGGATCAACTCTCAGACTTGTAAATGGTGTCCCGCAATATAAACCGAGGACAGAAGCTTATAACAGTCAAAGGTTAAGCGAGCTACATTGCAGAGATAGCGTCTCGCCCGTGGACAGGTAGTACACAAGTGTCCATCTTGAGAATTGGGAGGTCTTGGAGCTCGAATTGCTCCAGTATGTCGGCATCACATGACCTGAAATCGTGCTGAACAATGGTATGAGGCAGACCTAGGGTACCACTGCAAGAAATGAGAGAAATCTGTTTTCGAATAGTGAACAAGAATATCGTCTATGGAGGTAAGAAGGGAGTGTCTGAGCCTGGCCAGCATTTCATACTGTGACGATGCATGCACCTCTCCTAAGAGAATGAAGTGAAATATTTTGACCAACATTGCACAGGAGTGCCTTGTTGATATGATCAGTCAGTGGGAGATGTCAGTTGTGGAGTGAAAAACTTAATACACTGCATACTTTGAAATGTAGTGTGGAAGGGTAGCGAGTGTTGTGCTGGTCTTCTCTGCGAAGAGTAAGAGGTAATTATAGCACTGTCGTCTGTTAACTGTCGTGGTCATTTTGGTGTGGGACCAGAGGTGGTCCGTCCTGAGATGGATGGGCGATCTGAAAATCACTGCACTGTGGAGGGAGAAGCCAGAAGCATGGTCAAAGATGTGCAGAGGTCGGATGTATTAAAGGAGTCAGGCAGAACCACGATACCAGGAGATCGATGCAAAAGAGATAATAAGTACAAGGATCAAAATGGGTGGGAATACCCATATTTAAAACATGGAGGGGAAGAGAAGTGAGAAAAACTTCCAACTGAGTACGCAAGAGTCACAGTGTGACCCCCCCACCTTCCAAGCCCAAGGATATGGTGAGCATTAAAATCGCCAAGTAACAGAAGGGGTGGCGGTAAGGAAGAAACCAGAAATGGAACATCTGGGATAGATAATGCCCGAGAGGGAGAGAGATACAAAGAACAGATTGTATGCCACTTATTTAAATGGATGCAGGCTGCAATATAATGCAGCAAAGAGATGAAGGTATGGAATATTGGTGTGTATAAGAAGTGCAGTTTCATTAAAGGTTCCATTGGGAAAAGGATCTGATGATTATAATAAAACATAGCTCAAGATGGGATGGATAACAGTGGAGCATAATTTGGGTTCTTGTAAACAAACACAAACAGGGGAAAACTGGGAGAGCAACACCTGCAGCTCAACCCAGATATTCCACTGTAAATAAGCCATGATTTGTGAGGAGAATACAAGAAATCAGAAGGTAGAGGTATCTACGGACTAGAAGGATTAGAGAAGTCCACATGTGGGGGCAGCGGAAAACGAACAAGCAGCAAAGGGTTGGAACACTGCGAAGAAAGGAGTTGTGCAGATAGAGAAGAGTGAAGAGGAACAGCAGGAGGCAGATCGGTGTCCATCAATGGTTTAGTCTCCGCAATATAGTCGGAGATAGCTTCAATTGTTTCAGAGGACAAGGACGTTGTATGTGGGATGATATGGGAGATAGGAACAAGGTGAGTAAAGATCAGGGTGATGACAGAATTTACCAAAGTAGGGGGAGATGAAAGGTTAGAGGGAACTTGAGAAGCTTGGGAGGGGACAGAGGAAGAAGAAACTTGGGAGGGGACAGGAGAAGAAGGTACTGTACGAGGAGAAGGATGCACCTCCATACTCGTAACAGAGCTATGAAGAGGTAAAGAACCAGGTACAGAGACTGGAAAGGAAAAATGTCCAGGTAGAATAAGTGAAGGAAAGGTTAAAGGAGATTTCAACAATGGGTATTTTTTGGACTTCGCAGGAGAGGGGTGATGGGTAGGTGTTGTGCGAGGTATTGTAGACATAGAAAGTTGTGAGCGAGAAGATGAAGAGGTGTAAACAGGAGGAGGTGACGAGGTAGGAACCTCGGAGGCCAAGACTGCAAAAGAATTAGAGACGGGTGACTGGAAGTTGGGACCCCAGAGGTTGGGGGCCACGTAGTAACTCGAGAATAAGAAATACGGGGAAGTCTCCCCTGGAGGTGTAGATGAGAGACTGCCATGGCATAAGGAAAGCCTTCTGACTCTTTGAAACAATGGATTTCTCACTCATTTAAGTAAACTTGACAATGACGAGAATAAGGCAAGAGGGAGGTAGACAACAAGAAGTACTGGCATAGTTGTTGGCACCACCGACTGGGCATTCAGCCATGGACCTGCAATATTTCACTGGATGTTCAAAACACCAGCAATTTCTACATTGTTGTGGTGCAGGGATCACCTTTTGAACTTGTAAATGGTGTCCCGTGATATAAACCAATGACGGACGCTCATGGCAGTCAAAAGTTAAGCGAGCTACATTGCAGGGGTAGAGTTTCCACCTGTGGGCAGGTAGTACATACGTGTCTACTTTAAGGATCGGGAGGTCTTGAAGCTCAAGCTGTTCCAGAATGTCATCACCACATGTCTGGAAATCATGTTGGATAATGGTATGAAGTAGAATGACAGTACCACTACAAGAATTGAGAGAATGCTGCTTTGCAATTATTACAGGAATAGCATCTATGGTAGTAAGGAGGAAAAGATTGCGAGCTTGGCTAGCATTCTGTACTGTGACAATGTGTGCACCGCTCTTGAGAGCATGAAACGACATATCTCAACCAACATGGCAGAGGAGCGCCTTGCTGATACTATGATCAGAAAGATAGTAAGAAGAAGTCGGTTGCAGAGTAAAAAAACTTAGTCCATTGCATATTTTGAAACACAGCGTGTAAAGTTAGTGAGTGTCGTGCCGGTCTTTTCTGGACAGAGTGAGAAGGAAGTGAAGTAGTATTATCAGTTAATAGTCTTGGTCATTTAGGTGTGGTCCAATGTGGGATGGGAGGGAGATCCGAAAATCGTTGCACCATAGAGGGAGAAGTCAGAAGCATTGTCAAAGAAGTGCTGAGATCAGGCATATCAAAGGAGTCAGGCAAAACCCTGGTACCTGGAGCAGGTGATGAAATGGCACCAACAGAAGGTACAGGGGCATCAGAAATGTCTGAAAAGTGGTCAAATAATGAGGTAGGGTCGGAACAGGATGTGGTAGCAGAAAGGGACCAAGGAGGAGCTGGTTCATGGATTGCTTTTTAGAAAAAAAAAAGAAAAAATTGAATAAAATAAGGGGGGAACATGGAGGGATAGCTCCTAGGAAGAATGAAAGGGCCATAAATCCTCCTCTGCACCCAAATGGACCTCAGCACCGCAAGTAGTGCAGATGCGGCATGAAACCCATGCCATACCCTACCCTTCATGCCAGTAAACCAGCAATCTGGGATAGCACCCTCACATCTACCGAGCCACCTCAGTGGACAAGAGAGAGGACGACTGGATACTCACCACAAAGCATACCTCCTTCAGCCACCATCCCCTGGAATCCGAAAGACAGCTTCCAGAGATACACCCGTCACTTGAAAGATACCCAAAGCCACCCCCTGGGAGACTTGAGAGGGACTGGGACATCCCCAGGTGATTCAGATTCCACGGCAAACTACTACACCACCATGGACTTTAATGAAATGGGATGGACCACGGCACCCTTCCCCCTATCTAGGAACCAGAGAGTCTGTGGGGAGAATCCCAAAGGCTGAAAACAGGAAGGGGAGAGGGGAGGTGTGGGGAGACGAGGAGGAAAGGTAAAGGGGGGAAGGGGAGGATGAGATAGGGAATGGGGCAAGGTGGGGTGGGGGTCAATTAGGTTCGGTCTGAGGAAGAAGACCAAAAGGTCCAATTCCTCAGACCAAGAGCCTCTTTGCCTCATCAAGGAGTCCCTCTTGAAGAGACTAGGAGGAATTAAAAGGCTGTAAATACCCCTCCGTGTCCAAGTGGACCTCACTACAACTAGCAGTGCAGATGCAGCATGGAACTCGTGCCATATCCTACCCTTCATGCCAGTAAACCAGCAATCCAGGATTGCAACCTCACATCTACTGAGCCACCTCACTGGACATAAAAGAGGGCAGTCGGATACCCTCCACAAGGCATTTGTTAAAATCATTTCTTAAAACCAATTTCAAGTATAAAAGATTAATAGGAGAGTAAAACTTGGCATATTATCAGTAATAATATACATGCCACCTTTAAACTATTTGATGTGCCATTAATTTCACTCCCATGGCTGTTGCTTGAGACAAAATACAACATACTCAATAAATCCAACATGTGCCATATTACCTTAATATCCAATTAACAATACTGTATCTGCTTTTCCTAAGTATTACCACAGTGGAGTTCACATTTCTGTAACCTGTAATTTCTCAATTTTCCTCAATGGTTTTATTTATCATGTACGGTTTTCTTGTTAACTGAAAAATTAAACACATTCCTCACTCCAGGAACTGAAATCAGTTTCTTTACTTCTAACATGAATACTGAAAAATAATACTGTACTATTCAAAATCATGTTTTATTATACACACTATTAACATGCTTCATCAAGAAATATGATCAGCCTTTTTCACTGATCTAAAAAAATAATCTGACCAAAGAGTGAGGACTAGATATCAATAAATGAGTGTCAAGTGTACCATGAACATACACAATAAAATATACATTCTACCATTTTTAATAGGTACTGTACACAAATAGTGTAATACTGTCATAAAAAACCTAGTTCTCTGGGAAAATTTTATAATAGGGAAATATTAAATATGAAGCAAAAATATTATGCCTAATTATCTCTATCTGTTATACATATATTAGATAGAAAATTAGTTCTCTAGGTTAAAAGTGACATGGCAGTATGTATCTGTTTCAGGTGCAAATTGATCACAGGACGGAAATTCTTCCATTTAATCCATTTCTTAATAAATGTTCTTACAAAAGGTGAGTGAAAATGTTTGATACTTTTAATACAGTTATATCAAGGAAGTGTAAATCAGAGTAACTTAAATAGATACTGTTCATCATAATGTACCTGGTTATTTGACTGTTAGTAAACACACAGTGTAATACAAACAAAGATCTTTGTACATCTTTTTTTACTGTCAAAAACATTCAAACTAATAATAATTATAAAGAACATTAATTTATATTCTTCAATGCATTATCACAGTTATATTTTCCTTAAATTCATCTGTTACATCCCTATATGCTCTGAATTATGTGATTCCTCTAAACCATATTATACACATCTTAGGACGTGATACTAAATTTTTCAAGGGGTGGGCTGATAAGCCAATGTTTATGGAAAGCTTTAGCCAAATGATCAAAAGTTTCATTATGTAGATCTGCATATGACTAAGCCCTGATTAGCAGGAGATTACTCATTTTTTATGACAAACAAAATTATCCTTTCCTTATAAAATACATTGAAGTAACTTGTCACTACACATTTGGAACCTACATAGCACTTGCTCCAATTTCCATACTGTCTCCACTTCCTCAAATAGCACAACTCTTGCTACATGTACCTGTATATGGCATTTCTCCATGTGATTAATTTACATGACGAAATTATCTAACCTAACATAATTCTGTAATCTGGCTAGTACAGAAGTGTAATAAATATAAAAACTATGTTGAAAATTTAGTATGCTGTATAAGTAACTCACAGAAAATGAAGAAGTCTCCTGCAAACAAACCTGTTCTCCTGGCTTCAAAGTGCACATATTATCAATCATACCACAAATGGGTCAAGATACTGAAAGCAGTTTTCATACTGGTGCCTCTCCTAACATGAGCCATAATCCTTTTCATTTCTATCTAAAACAAATATCACACTGTTGCGAATACATAATTCTGAAAAATCAATCAAGAATTCCTGCAGGATTAAACCCAGTCCTCCTGTTTGCAAGACATGCACACTACTGATCATAACCTGAATAGGTTATGATCAGTAGTTTATCCCACCAATTGTGGTGGGATAAAATTGGTACACCAAACAATATTTTACAAAATGCCCCCTATTTAAGTGTACTCATAGTATATTCAATAATCTACATTTTATTTATTTCAATATAGTTGCCTGCATGGTGTGATCGGCAGTATGTGCAGCTTCTAACCAGGAGGACTGGGCCTGATAGTACATTATTTCTTGATTTTCAGATATGAACATGTTTCTAACTTGTGTGTGAAGTCAGGTAGGTTTAACTTACCATAAGAGCTGCTCAGCTTTTAGTTTTATTTTAAAAAACCCAAAGGCAGATTACATGATGTCTCATCTAACATAAGCTATCATCAGGTTTTAGCCGTTAATAAGCCTAGTGTGTTATGGATGTTAGATATATCTACTATGACAGAAAATATCTGTTACATTTGTGCCAGTTGAAAACGAATTATGGGCAACTAACACAATTTCTGACAAATGGTATTAAATTACAATCACTTGAATGCAGCCAAATTTAGCTATACTGCATTGCCTCCATTTCTTAGGGCAGATGATTTGTACTGCATATCTTGAAATTCAAAAACCCTAAGACAATTTTTCATTAAGTGAAACTATCTTAGTTATGCCTTCTTTAATTACATACGAGTACAGTGTGGGAACTGCAAAATTGGAGCAATACGAGCATTCATTTGATCTCACCTTCATATCTCATCGGTCACAACAAAGAAGTGCTGCTTTCAGGAAGAGTAACTCATGAGCTTCAATACTCTAAAGTAATAAATAGTGAATATCAACATGAAAAGAAAAGCATTCTAAGGCAGCACAGAAGATCTCAGCTACACAAATACCAATCTATGCACTGAGAAAAGGCATAATGAATACAAGGTGTTGCTGGATAGAAAGGGCAAACTCAACCTTTAAACTTTAATAAAAAATACTCTAAATACCATTTATGGAAATATTTTTTAACCCAATAGCCATCTCCCATCAAGGTAGGATGACCCAGAGAAAATAGTCACCATCATTTATTCACTATCACCCTCAGCTCACCCTCTGGCTGCAACATCTCCACCCCTCCTGCAGAGGGCAGGCACTGCCCTCCTGCCCCTGGGATTCAAGTCCAGCTAACCAGTTTTGATGAATCCCTTCATAAATGTAACTTTGCTCACACTACAACAACACATACATTATAAACTACTAGTCTCCATTCATTCCTGCTTAACATACTTGCACAAGCCTGCTGGATACTCAAACCCCTAAAGCTCAGCCTCTTTTACCTCCCTCCAACTGTTCCTGGGATGATCCCTTCCCCTCCTACCTTCCACGCCATAATTATACAACCTTTTTTTGACATCCATTCCTTACCATCCTTTCTACATGCTCAAACCACCTTAACCCTACACATAAATATTCAAATACATAAATAAATCTTTCAACAAATCAGCCATATCCCTCCAAGGCAGGGAGGCCCAAAAAGAAAAACGAAAGTTTCTCTTTTTAAATTTTGTAATGTATACAGGAGAAGTGGTTACTAGCCCCTTGCTCCTGGCATTTTAGTTGCCTCTTACGACATGAATGGAAATATATAAATAAATATATGCATCATTTTCAACATACTGACTGTCTCCCACCAAGGCAGAGTGAACTGAAAAAGAAACACTGCCACCATAATTCACTCAATCACTGTCTTGCCAGAGGCATGCCAATAACATAGTTCAGATACCCCTCCAAACTACAAATATCCCCACCCATCCTTCAGAGTGTAGGTACTTTAATTCCCACTATAAAACTCAAGTCTGGCTAATAGGGTTCCCCAAGTCTTTTCAATAAATAAATAATATACATACAGCACTCGAAGGCTGTTCGAGTGCAGATCCGTTTGAGTATCAAACAAGTTCTTCCCTACCTCAATTAAAGGCTCCCCATTTTCATTTACCCCTGGCACCCCAAATTTACCTACTACTCCCTCCACAACATTTTTGCCCACTTTAGCATTGAAATCCCCAACCACCATTACTCTCACACTTGGTTCAAAACTCCCCACGCATTCACTCAACATTTCCCAAAATCTCTCTCTCCTCTACACTTCTCTCTTCTCCAGGTGCATATACGCTTACTATAACCCACTATTCACATCCAGTCTTTATTTTACTCCACATAATCCTTGAATTAATATATTTATAGTCCCTCTTTTCCTGCCATAACTTATCCTTCAACATTATTGCTACTCCTTCTTTAGCTCTAACTCTATTTGAAACCCCTGACCTAATCCCATTTATTCCTCTCCACTGAAACTCTCCCACCCCCTTCAGATTTGTTTCACTTAAAGCCAGGATATCCAGCTTCTTCTCATTCATAACATCCACAATCATCTTTTTATCATTTGCACAACATTCCTATTATTTTATTTTAATGAATGTTTTACCAAAGTTCAGATGTTGTGTTTGCCTTACTATATGCAATGGTTCATGTGGGCAGATACAAAAATAACAAAACAAGAAATATTACAAATATATTTATATTACATTTAATTACAGTGGACCCTTGAATTTCATCATCCCTTTTCTTTATGTAAAACTATAGTTATTATCTATAAAATGTATTTTTTTTTATATATTTTTGGGTGTCTGGAATGGATTAATTGGATTCACATTATTTCTTATGGGAAATATTAACAAAAAATACATTTTATAGAGAATAACTATAGTTTTACATACAGAAAAGGGATGATGAAATTCGAGGATCCACTGTATATGAAACTGAATTCAAGCTTAAAATCTGTTAATCTATAACTTATAATTTAATGGAAAAACATAAGAACACTAATTTTCCTAGCTTGAAGCAAGTGAAGCAAATGAATCCTTTTGTATGTTGCAATAGAGATGCATTATCAGTTCCAGCATCAGTGACTCAGTTGTACCTATGGCAGATAATTAGGCATACATTAGTTCTTCAATGCATCACAACTGCTTGTTTGTTTTCCAGTAGTCTATTCCAAATTGCTGATATATACCGTATTTTACAGTGAACAAGACACTCTGGTGCAAGTACACTCCCCAAATCTGTCTAAATTTGGAAAAAAAAAAAAAAAGGTATCCGTGATAATAACGTTAATAAAGTTAGGTTAAGCCTGAGGCATTATACTATATTAACCCTTTGACTTTCGCAGCCCCCCTTCTGAAACTTTCATTCTATATCGATAAATTTTTTTGGAAAAAAAAAAAAAATTCTTATGAAAGGATAGAGAATCTTTTCCCGATGGCAATGACACCAAAAGTACGAAATTTGGTATAAAACTCACGGAATTACGCTCCCGCGAAGTTAGAGGTCTGGGTGACATAAACGCATTGGCGATTTTGCTGACTTTGAGCCCTGTTTTTGGCCAATTCCGTTGTTCCAGTTGACGAAACTAGTAGCTATTTCTTTAGAACTCCATTTTTTCTATCAGTTGAGTACAAGAAACTGCCCATTTACCGATTTGAACTACCCAATAAAGTGGTCAGAAATTGGCAATTTGGCCAATTTCACGCAAATTAAAAAAGATGCCAATTTCAAAATAGAGTCCAGAATAAACAATGTAGACACTCTTGGCACTAAAATAACATATCCTCTGTTCATTAGTCACATCTCTAGACCCCTCTTGTATTACTATTGCTTTCTATTTTGATTTTTTATTCATACAAAAAAAATACAAAATTTACTGTTATGCAGACTACTGTATTATTGTAAAAATGGAATAAATAATATCAGTGCACTAGTGAAAGAATATTAGATTCCCCAGTTGACGTGTATTAGACGTGTGGTGTGATTTGCTTACTCCTGAACACTGGTAAAAATCGAACATTCATGCTACTTTGAGCTCAATTTCAAGGTCATTTTCATCGTGAAAGTAATCAAAATCATCTCTATTTCTGTAATATGTTTTCCATTTTATCACCGGAGACCATGAAAACGAGAATACAACGATAAATATTATACGAAAATACACCTCCAAGTTGGCATCTTAATCCAAAAAAATGGTCTTTTTTTTTCTCATTACACACTGCGTGCTGTAGGATTTTTTTTATGTGGTGCACACTGACCACACAGACCCATTCTCTCACATGTGGGCCTACCAGCTTTCTCCTGCTTGATTTGAAGCTGCTAGAATTTACGCATATAAATATGTCAGAAACAGTGGTGCGTAAGCCGTACATATACGACCGAAACAAAGTGTTAAAACAGATGTTGATGGTTTATTCTATGATTACTTATCACTGATGCAGCTGACTGGCAGGTTTGACAGTCAGTTGCATCAGCTAAAATGCACAACATTTACATGAAACATCACTAAAACACATGCCAGTATCTGCTAAATCCTAAATCTCAGCTTAACCCTTTCAAGGTACAGACCCCCACTCTGAAACATGTCAACAGGGTCCAACAATTCCCCCCCCCCCCAAAAAAAAAAAAAAAAAAAAAAAATTCTCTGAAATGGAACAGAATTCTTTTTCTGAACGTAATAAAGCAAAAAAGTACAAAATTGGGTGAAAAATTGACAAAACTATGCAATCACGAATTTTACTCTGTCAGTAATATTCATGCATCGGTGATTCTGCCCACTTTGCGTCCTATTTTATACCAATTACACTGTTCAGTCGACCAAATTCTTCGCTACTTCACTAGCTTGCCTTCCACTTTATTGACTTAGCACAAGAAACCACCCAATCAACTACAGCCTCTCCTCATGGAGTTCCGTTCCTATGACCACGTTGTTAAAGGAATTCGTTGCTAAGTGAGAAGCATACTAGTAAATGGTAGTGTGTCTGTGTCAATCATCTTTGTTATTGTTTTAATGTCAAGTTTGCACCATTTATAACATTTCTAGCATATTTTTAAATGTTAATACAGTAGTGTACTGAATATTGAAATAAACAGAATAGAGGAAATCAGATCTAATATACAATATTTGGTTATAAATACTGGTCAGAGTCTGTCGTAAGTCCGAGGCGTCAGTAAATGAGTATGTCACTAAGTGAGGAGAGGCTGTATTTCAACTACCTAATAAAGTCATCAGATATTGGTAATTTAGCCAATTTTACACAATTTTCAAAATATTCCAATTGCAAAACAGGGTCCAGAATAAACAATGCAGACATTCATGGCACTTAAATAACATTTCCTCTGTTCATCAGTTACATTCCCAGGCTTCATATATGAATTTCTTTTTGATTTTTTATTCATGCAAAGAATTTGAATTCACACCAAAAAAATAGAAAATTTACCGTTACGCAATAATTGTACAAATAATACTGTATTAGTACATTTGTGAACACACATTACACCCACCAGTTGATGAGTGCTGGATGTGTGATGTGACTTGTTTACTTTTGAACAGTGGCAAAAATCAAACGTCTGCTATTTTGAGCTCAATTTCAAGCTATTTTCAGTCCTAAAAGCAATCAAAATCATCTCTATTTCTGTAATACGTATATCTTCCATTCTCTCAAGTAACACCAAGAAATCAAGACTACAACCATAAAAACCATGTGAAAATACACTGCAGTTGAAGATTTGTGGGACACTATCACTCACGTACAATATATAAACTGGACCTGACTGGCCATGTTCTCTTTCTACTCACTGTCTTGATGCGTGTCAAGTGGATGTGGCTATGGCTAGGACTACATATTGATTTGTGATGTTTTTTTCATGTGTTTTAAAAATATTTCATGTTTATAAGTTCATTGATTTTACTATTTAATCAGAATATGTTTGTACTGCAACATGACTAAACTAAACCTACAGTTTGCAAATGGCGGCTTTTGTGGTAACTACCATATACTGCAATTTTACTTTTACTTTTTATATCTGATAATGATCCCTTAATATCAGGATCATTTGAGGTGAGTCAACATCATATTAGTTCATCTGACTCCACTGTCTGGTATATCTTAGCCTACCACTGCTAAGTGCCAACAAATTTTGTTATTTATTCACTATTTTATACAAAATCAATCAATCAAGTTTATTCTCTATAAGGATTACAATGCAGGGTTTACAGATCTGAATACAGTGGACCCCCAGTTCGCTATGCTATCGGTATCCGATAAATCCAGTATCCGATGCATTATATCGCAAAAAATTTGCCTTGGTTCCCGTTACAAAACCCGGTATGCGATGCGATTCATACAAGACGTGTCCATGTGTGGCCTGAACTGCCCCGTGTGTGATGCCAGTGTTTACAAGCCAGCCAGTGTGCATGCATCTAAGGATACATTAAGTACATTCCATATTATCCACATTATCACCGTTTTTGGTGCTTGTTTTTGCAAAATAAGTCACCATGGCCCCCAAAGAAAGCTTCTAGTGCTAACCCTTCGAGACCAAGGGTGCTAATGACCACTGAAATGAAGAAAAAGATAATTGCGAAGTACGAAAGTGGAGTGAGTGTGTCGGAGCTGGCCAAGTTGTATAGTATAGTTGTGTTGTATAGAGGGGGATTCCCCTTCTAAACAATACGTTCAACACTCTTCCCTCCTCCCATCCCATCAATCATCACCAGATCTTCATTAAAGGTAAGTGTCAATTATTCTATTGTTATTGTAATTATTCTATTGTATTAAACTTAATATTTCATGTGGTAAGTTTTTTTTTCATACTTTTGGGTGTCTTGCATGGATTAATTTGATTTCCATTATTTCTTATGGGGAAAATTGATTCGCTTTCCGATAATTTTGGTTTACGATGAGCTCTCGGGAATGGATTAATATCGCAAACCAGGGGTCCACTGTATTGTGTGGTTTACATGTTTTAAAATACTAATTACAGAGGGGGCCACTAGGACACCTAGCATGGCTAGGCATTTCGGGCAGACTTAGATTAGTTCTTAACTTTAAATTATTACAGATTATGGTATTAAGGCTAAGTGACTACATTATTGTTTGTGAGTTTAGCAATGTGAATGCTTTTGTTTTGGCACAATACATAGTGTCTATATTGGAGTATCATAGGCAAACTTATGACTAGTTAGGATTCATTATTTTAAGATTAAGATTCGTATTTCTGTGTTTATAATCAATGGGTGAGTGTAAGTGTGAAATACCAGGTGGTTTACAAGTAGTTAGTTGTCGGGGTGGATCAGGGAGATAAGATGTTTTCTAACTGTAGTTTTGAAAGTGAATGTGTCTGCAGTTCTAGAGTTTTCAGGTAGGGTGTTCCAGATTTTAGGCCCTTTGACACACATTGAATTTTTGTAAAGGTTTAATCGGACACGGGGAAATTCATAGAGATGTTTGTGTCTGGTGTTATGCCTGTGGGTCCTGTCACAACTATCAAGAAAGCATTTTAGGTCAAGGTTAATATTGGAATTTAAGGTCCTGTAGATGTAGATTGCACAGTAGTAAGTGTGGATGTTCTGAACAGGGAGTAAGTTTAGATCTATGAAGAGAGAGGGGGGGGAGGGAGGTGTTGCCAGGGATGGGATTTAGTGATTATTCTGCTAGTTTACACAATTCATTACTGGGTCATATACAGGAGCTTAGATTACTGTTTAGTATCAAAAACCTTCTCTAGGCTTAGGTTGAGGCCTCTGAGCAATGTACATGTGACTTGGACCTGCCTAGCATGGGCCAGTAGGCCTGTTGCAGTGTTTATTCTTATGTTCTTATGTAACCTTCAGCCTCCAAGATGCTGGGTAACTTTTCAAGACTTATTTGGGTAAAGAAATAGCGTCTTTGATGCTGTAAAATACGGCATATAATGTGAGCACCTTCACTTAACACAATCATTTTCAGCACCAGAGCTGAATATTTCATGGTTAAGTACATATGCACACTAGTATGTTAGTCCATCAGCAAATGAATCAATTAGAAACAGAATCTCACCATATTGCAAAAATTGCAAATTATGTAAGGATTACTGGTATTAGTTACCTTGCAA